TGGCTGGGTGTTGTGTGAGGCTGACTGGGTGTGTGAGGACTGGCTGGGTGTGGTGTGACTGCTAGCTGGGGGTGGTGTGAGGGGCTAGCTGGGTGTACTGTGAGGGCTGGCTGGGTGTTGTGTGAGGCTGACTGGGTAGTGTGAGGACTGGCTGGGTGTACTGTGAGGGCTGGCTGGGTGTTGTGTGAGGCTGACTGGGTGTTGTGTGAGGGCTGACTGGGTGTGGTGTGAGGGTTAGCTGGGTGTAGTGTGAGGGCTGGCTGGGTGTGGTGTGAGGACTGGCTGGGTGTAGTGTGAGGTCTGGCTGGGTGTGCTGTGAGGCTGGCTGGGTGTTGTGTGAGGGCTGACTGGGTGTGGTGTGAGGGCTGGCTGGGTGTGGTGTGAGGCTGGCTGGGTGTGGTGTGAGGGCTAGCTGGGTGTGCAGTGAGGCTGGCTGGGTGTGTTGGGGCTGACTGGGTGTAGTGTGAGGGCTGGCTGGGTGTGGTGTGAGGCTGGCTGGGTGTAGTGTGAGGTTAGCTGGGTGTAGTGTGAGGGCTGGCTGGGTGTAGTGTGAGGACTGGCTGGGTGTAGTGTGAGGTCTGGCTCGGTGTACTGTGAGGGCTGGCTGGGTGTTGTGTGAGGGCTGACTGGGTGTAGTGTGAGGGCTGGCTGGGTGGTTTGAGGACTGGCTGGGTGTGTGTGAGGGCTGGCTGGGTGTACTGTGAGGGCTGGCTGGGTGTTGTGTGAGGGCTGGCTGAGTGTAGTGTGAGGGCTAGCTGGGTGTGGTGTGAGGGTGGCTGGTGTAGTGTGAGCTGACTGGGTGTAGTGTGAGCTAGCTGGGTGTAGTTTGAGGGTGGCTGGGTGTAGTGTGAGGGCTGGCTGGGTGTAGTGTGAGCGCTGACTGGGTGTAGTGTGAGGGCTGGCTGGGTGTGGTGTGAGGGTGGCTGGGTGTGGTGTGAGGCTGGCTGGGTGTGAGTGTGGGCTGGCTGGGTGTTGTGTGAGGGCTGACTGGGTGTAGTGTGAGGGCTGGCTGGGTGTGGTGTGAGGCTAGCTGGGTGTGGTGTGAGGGGTGGCTGGGTGTGGTGTGAGGGCAGCTGGGTGTGGTGTGAGGGCTAGCTGGGTTTTGTGTGAGGGCTGGCTGGGTGTTGTGTGAGGTGGCTGGGTGGTGTGGTCTGGCTGGGTGTACTGTGAGGGCTGGCTGGGTGTTGTGTGAGGGCTGACTGGGTGTGGTGTGAGCTGGCTGGGTGTGGTTTGAGGACTGGCTGGTTGTGGTGTGAGGGTGGCTGGGTGTGGTGTGGTGGCTGGGTGTGGTGTGAGGCTGGCTGGGTGTGTGTGGGCTGGCTGGGTGTTGTGTGAGGCTAGTGGGTGTAGTGTGGTGGCTGGGTGTGGTGTGAGCGCTGACTGGGTGTGGTGAGGGCTGGGCTGGGTGTAGTGTGAGCGCTGGCTGGGTGTAGTGTGAGGGCTGGTTGGGTGTAGTGTGAGGGTGGCTGGGTGTAGTGTGAGGGCTGGCTGGGTGTGGTGTGAGGCTGGCTGGGTGTGTGTGAGCTGACTGGGTGTAGTGTGAGGAGCCGGGTGTGGTGTGAGGGCTGGCTGGGTGTGAGTGTGAGCTTGACTGGGTGTGTGGGGCTGGCTGGGTGTGGTGTGGTGGCTGGGTGTGGTGTGAGGGTGGCTGGGTGTGAGTGTGAGCTGACTGGGTGTAGTGTGAGGCTGTGGGTGTGGTGTGAGCTGGCTGGGTGTGGTGTGAGGGCTGGCTGGGTGTGGCGTGAGGCTGGCTGGGTGTGGTGTGAGGGCTGGCTGGGTGTAGCGTGAGGCTGGCTGGGTGTGTGGAAAACAATGGCTCCAGACCTCCACCACGCGTCTCTGCTTTTGACTGTCAACACGCCACGCGCCCTGACTACACCTTCCCACGCCCTCGCTTACCCACCCCAACTCCTTCACGCCCACGTCTCTTCCACGCCACCTTCTACCCCTCACCCCCCTTTCCCTCAGATGTTCACCTTCCTCACCCGTCACCAACACACACTGGACACCTCCCCTCCCACACACACACCTCCCCCTCCCACACCTCCCCTCCCATACCTCCCCCCCCCCTCACACCCCTCCCCCTCACACACACCTCCCCTCACCCCCTCCCCCTCCCACACACACCCCCCTCCTCCCCCCACACCCCCCTCCACACACACACCTCCCCTCCACACACCTCCCCCTCACACCCCTCCCCTCCCCCCTCCCCTCCCCACACACACCTCCCCTCCCACACACACCTCCCCTCCCACACCCCTCCCTCCCACCCCCTCCCCCACACACACCTCCCCCTCCCACCTCCCCTCCCCACACACCTCCCCTCCCCCACACACCCCCACCTCCCCCTCCCCACCTCCCCTCCCCCTCCCCCCTCACACCTCCCCCCCTCACTACACACCTCCTCCTCCACACACCTCCCCCACACCTCCCCTCCCTCCCCCTCCCACCTCCCCTCCCCCCTCCCCTCCACCCTCCCCTCCACACCTCCCCTCCCCCACCTCCCCCCACCACACCTCCCCCCACCACACCCTCCCCCCCTCCCTCCCCACCTCCCCCCTCCCTCTCCCCTCCCACACACCCCCCCTCCCCTCCCACCTCCCCTCCCCCCCCCCTCCCCTCCCACACCTCCCCCTCCCCCTCCCCTCCCCACACACCTCCCCTCCCCCCTCCCCCCTCCCCCCTACCCCCTCCCCCCCCCTCCCCCTCCCCCCCCTCCCCTCCCACCCTCCCCCTCCCCACACACCTCCCCTCCCCACACACCTCCCCCTCCCCTCCCCTCCCCACACACACCCCCCTCCACACACACCTCCTCACACACACCTCCCCCTCCACACACACACACCTCCCCTCCACACACACACACCTCCCATTCCACCTCCCCTCCCCACACACCTCCCCCTCCACACACCTCCCCCCTCCACACACACACCTCCCCCTCCCCCTCCCCTCCACACACACCTCCCCTCCCCACACACACCCCTCCCCCACCTCCCCTCACACACCTCCCCTCACACACACACCTCCCCTCCACACACCTCCCCTCCCCCCCTCCCCTCCCCCTCCCCCCCCCCCCCCCCCTCCACACACACACCTCCCCCTCACACACACCTCCCCCCTCCCACCTCCCCCCCTCCCACACCTCCCCTCCCCACCTCCCCTCCCACCCCTCCCCCCTCCACACACACACACCTCCCCCTCCCACACCTCCCCCCTCCCACCTCACCTCCCCCCCCCCTCCCCACACACCTCCCCTCCCACACACACACCTCCCCTCCCACACCTCCCCCTCCCCCCTCCCCCTCCCCCCCTCTCCCCTCCCCCCCCCTCCCCCCTCCCACACACCCCCTCCCCCCCCTCCCCTCCCCCCCCTCCCCTCCCCCTCCCCCTCCCACACACACCCCCCCCCCTCACACACCTCCCCTCCCCACACACACCTTCCCCTCCCCCCCTCCCCCCCTCCCACACACACACCTCCCCTCCCCCCTCCCCTCCCACACACACCTCCCAAATGCTTTCTTTTCTCTTCTCCTCCTCCCCCCCTCCACACACAGCCTCCCTCCCACTGCCCCTCTCCACACATCCTCCCCTCCTCCTGCCCCTTCCCCAGCCTCCTCCTCCTGCCCCCCCCCACAGCCCCACCCTCCTCCTGCCCCTCCCCCAGCCCCTCCCTCCTCCTGCCCCTCCCCACAGCCCCCACCTCCTGCCCCTCCCCACAGCCCCTCCCCTCCTGCCCCTCCCCCAGCCTCCTCCTCCTGCCCTCCCCACAGCCCCACCCCTCCTCTTGCCCCTCCCCACACAGCCCCCCCTCCTCCCTGCCCCTCCCCACAGCCCCACCCCTCCTCTTGCCCCTTCCCCAGCCCCCTCCCTCCTCCCCTGCCCCTCCCCACAGCCCCTCCCTCCTCCTGCCCCTCCCCACAGCCCCTCCCCTCCTCCTGCCTCCCCACACAGCCCTCCTCTCCTGCCTCCCCACAGCCCCACTCCTCCTGCCCTCCTCACACAGCCCCTCCCTCCTCCTGCCCCTCCCACAGCCCCACTCCCTCCTCCTGCCCCTCCCACACGCCCCTCCCCTCCTCCTGCCCCTCCCCACACAGCCCCTCCCCTCCTCCTGCCCCCTCCCCACACAGCCCCTCCTCCTCTGCCTCCCACAGCCCCTCCCCCTGCCCCTCCTCACACAGCCCCTCCTCTCCTGCCCCTCCCACAGCCCCCTCCCTCCTGCCCCTCCCCACAGCCTCCCTCCTCCTGCCTCCCCACTACAGCCCCTCTCTCCTTCTGCCCTCCCCCAGCCCCTCCCCCCCTGCCCCTCCCCACAGCCTCCCTCCTGCCCTTCCTCCACACAGCCCTCCCCCTGCCCCTCCCCACACAGCCCCTCCGTCCTCCTGCCTTCCCATGCAAGCCACTCCCCCCCCCCCCCTCCCCACACAGCCCTCCCTCATCCTGCCTTCCTCACACTGTTACAGCCACCAGCTGGCTCACACTGTTACAGCCACCAGCTGGCTCACACTGTTACAGCCACCAGCTGGCTCACACTGTTACACACTTGGTCTGAATTTATACAGTGTTTACATAATAATTGTGACGGGCTGTTGTTGGCAGAGATATAACAACAACAACAATGAGGTGGTGGACATACTGTATTTATAAAGAATGTTAATAGTGAGTCTTTACATACCAGCATTACTAGTGGCCATGAAAATGTTTATTAAGTCACTGTATACATGATGTGTGTGTGTGTGTGTGTGTGTGTGTGTGTGTGTTAGTCTTCCTAACAAGGCTATAAGTTAATGTGTGATGAATATTGTTAAGAAAGTTAGTTTTGGGTTTTCGTTCTTGTTATGATAATTTAAGCTGGTGTTAGTAAACATAGATTATGTTAGTTTGATTTTGTATAAGTTTGGTGATTGTTATTGTAGTAATAGTAGTAGTAGTAGTCGTAGTAGCAGTAGTAGTAGTGATATAGTGAACAGTATAGTAGTACATATACACTCCCTTCTCCCCAGTGTCGGCCTCAAGCAGCCTGGGTGGTGTGGGCGTCCCCAGCGTTACCTCCGCCCCCATCAGAGGGAGAAAGCGTGGGCGTCCTAAGGGCTCGGGTCTCCGGGGGCGGCTGTCCAGGGCCACCGAAGCCGCTGTGTGTTGCCTCTGCCGCAGCCTGCCAGCCGCTTCGTCAGCCGCAGCCATGGTCTCGTCCGCTGGCTCGCCCGGTGAGTGTTGAGTCTGTGGCTCTTGTTGAGAACTGTTTAATTTTATAGTTAATTCTTATTGTTTTATACCACATCACTATCATCATCACTATCATCACTTTCTTCCATATCACTATCTACCACATCAATATCATCACTTTCTCTACCATCACTATCATCACTTTCTACCACATCACTATTATCATCACTATCATCACTTTCTGCCATATCACTATCTACCACATCAATATCATCACTTTCTCTACCACATCACTATCATCACTTTCTACCACATCACTATCATCATCACTATCATCACTTTCTGCCACATCACTATCATCATCACTATCGTCACTTTCTGCCATATCACTATCATCACTTTCTACCACATCACTATCATCACTTTCTACCATCACTATCATCACTTTCTGCCCATCACTATCATCATCACTATCATCACTTTCTCTACCACATCACTATCATCACTTTCTCTACCACATCACTATCATCACTTTCTACCACATCACTAGCATCACTTTCTACCACATCAATATCATCACTTTCTACCACATCACTATCATCACTTTCTACCACATCACTATCGTCACTTTCTACCACATCACTATCATCACTTTCTACCACATCACTATCATCACTTTCTACCACATCACTATCGTCACTTTCTACCATATCACTGTCATCACTCTCTACCGCATCATTACATTCTCCCCCATCATCATCAGCACCACATTATTCATCACACAGTCATCACTTCCTGCACGTCACAACCTCAAACGTTCTTACCGTCAATAATATTCGTAAGTAAAATGTAACCTAACCTAATCTAATCTAACCTAACCTAATCATCGTTCCTCAAAGGGTTAAACCATCGTAATTTTGATTTAGGCTCGAGATAGGTAAACATTGGTTTGGAAATAGAGTAGTGGATGAGTGGAACAAGTTACCGAACATCATCATTAACTCGAACACGCTGGATAGCTTCAAACATAGGGTGGATGGATATATGAGTGATAGGGACTGCCTAGTATGGGCCAATAGGCTCCCTGCAGTTTTCTCCATTCTTATGTTCTTATTTTTTTCAAAGGGTTAAATCATCGTCCTCAAAAGGTTAAACCATCGTCATCAGAGGGTTAAACCATCATTTTAAAGATCGTCATCAAAGGGCTAAACCATCGTCTTTAAAGGGATCGTCATCAAAGGGCTAAACCATCGTCCTCAAAGGGTTAAACCATCAGCTTTAAAGGGATCGTCCTCAGAGGGTTAAACCGTCGTCTTCAGATGGTTAGGACCTGACATATATACAGACAAGTTAGGGAGGTTGCTGCAGCTGAGGAGAATAAATAAATAAGGTGACAGGTGGTGGTTCAGGCCTTCATGCCGGACACACGACCATACTGTGACCACCGACTCGCCTGGCTTCACCTGGGTTCACCTGGGTAGCTGAGGTATAGGTGTCCTTCCTGCCCTCACCAGCCACACGCCGGAGCCAGCAGCAGTGCCCACCACCGGAAAATGAGATCCCAGTGTGCGTATGCAGCGACACGTTCTCATGTGACACGTGTTCCTGATGGGACACCTGTTTCTAATGTGACACCAATTACTAATGCAACGTGTGCCTAACGTGAGACGTGTTCCCCATAGCCTTGAGGGGAGTTTTAGGGTAGAATAAGGAGATCTGTTTTATCCTTAACTTTGGGAAAAATATTAATAATATTAAAAGAGTTACAAAAAGACACGTTCATATACACTGAGACTCTACCTTAACTAGATACCTTCACTTAACACCAGTTAGGAGACAACATTACACTGGGACTCTACCTGAAGGTGGTAGTGTTATTGTGATACGGTTCATGTTAGTCAAGAGTGAGGCAGAGTCTTACCAGGACCATTATGATTAGTGGCGGCAGCTGAGACACACGTCACATAAGGTGTGGGTAGGACAACGAGATTCACCTAACTGTCCACACCTGAAACACACACCTGACACACACACCTAACTAAAAGTTTAGTTAATGAAGTTCAATATTCCACACTGTAATTGAAGACACTTGAGCAGCAGTAAGTGACCAAGAGCGTGGGGCCAGTGCTGTCCTGCCGAGTGTCTCATAACACTGTATTGTGTGGGTAAGTACATCACCTGGTAGTACTCCCTGGCTCAGTGTACAGGAACAGTGTTGTACTTCATCACCCCGATATACTACACTAATACATAGTTCATATATAGGTGATGACCAATCGGATCTCCACCATTGAGCTTACTGGTAGTATTATAACTAACGTATTCGGTTTAGCATTAAAAATCCATCATGTGTGAAATATACATGCAGCGTGTGTTGGTGGCTGACCCGCCCGGCAGTGATCCATCAAACTCTCAAACAACCAATTGATATTCGATGATGAATTGAATAGGCCAATACATATAGCGATGCTCAGCTAGTTCAGTGTACACTAACACGGCCGGGGGGGTCTGTTGTATGTAGGCGGTGTAGTGGTGGACGAAATGGTGTTGTAGTGGTGTACGAGGTGGTGTTGCAGTGGTGGACGAGGTGGTGTTGCAGTGGTGGACGAGGTGGTGTTGCAGTGGTGGACGGTGGTGTTGTAGTGATGGACAGATGAGTGTTGTTGTAGTGGTGGACGAGTTGGTGTTGCAGTGGTGGACGAGGTGGTGTTGTGGTGGTGGACGAGTGGTGTTGTAGTGGTGGACGAGGTGGTGTTGTAGTGGTGGACGAGGTGGTGTTGTAGTGGTGGACGAGGTGTGTGTTGCAGTGGTGGACGAGTGGTGTTGCAGTGGTGGACGGTGGTGTTGTAGTGATGGACGAGATGTGTTGTAGTGGTGGACAGGGTGTGTTGTTGTAGTGTGGACAGGTGGTGTTGCAGTGGTGGACGAGGTGGTGTTGTAGTGGTGGACGAGTGGTGTTGCAGTGGTGGACGGGTGGTGTTGTAGTGTGGACGGTGGTGTTGCAGTGGTGGACGAGGTCGTGTTGTAGTGGTGGACGAGATGGTGTTGTAGTTGTGGACGAGGTGGTGTTGTGGTGGTGGGTGGTGTTGCAGTGGTGGACGGTGGTGTTGCAGTGGTGGACGAGTTGGTGTTGCGATGGTGGACGGGGTGGTGTTGTAGTGGTGGACAAGGTGGTGTTGAAGTGGTGGACGAGGTTGGTGTGTGGACAAGGTGGTGTTGCTGGTGGGACGGTGTGCTGTAGTGGTGGACAGGCTGAAGTGGACGAGGGTAGGTGTTTTGGCAGTGTTTGGACGAGGTGGTGTTGTGGTGGTGGACGAGGTGGTGTTGTAGTGGTGGACAAGGTGGTGTTGTAGTGGTGGACGAGGTGGTAGTTTAGTGTTCCATCAGGCAGTGTTAGGGTGGCTTAATATTAAGAGCTACTTGTGGTGGTGGCGATAGTAGTGGTGGTGATGCTAGTTGTCATTGTGGTGGTGGTGATTGTAGTTGTGGATGTGTTGTTAGTGTCGTAGTGGTGATATTGTGGTGGTGGTGGTGATGTTAGTGTCATAGTGGTGGTGGTGGTGGTGGTGATTGTGGTGGTGGTGATTTTAGTGTCATAGTGGTGGGTGGTGGTGGTGATTGTGGTGGTGGTGATTGTGGTGGTGGTGATGTTAGTGTCATAGTGGTGGTGGTGGATGTGATCAAGTTCATCAATGATTCCCAAGCGGGCCTCCATGTCTAACTAATCTATTAACATTCCTTTCGGCTGTTTTCGAATCGGTGGACGAGGGGCACAATTATGATGTGGTATATCTCGACTTTAGCAAAGCCATCGACAGTCCCCACGAAAGACTAATAAGAAAAGTGGAGACTCGTGGCATAGGAGGAATATTCTAAAATGGATTAGGGCGTGGTTACAGGACGGAAACAGCAGTGAGCATTAACGGCACTAAATTCGATTGGAGTAGTGTCACTAGTGGAGTACCCCAAGGCTCAGTACTTGGACCATTATTATTTATTATATACATAAACGACATAAATATAGGCTTTGGCAGCAAAAAATTTGATGACACTAAAATAGGGCGTGTAATTAAATCTGACGAGGATTCAGAAAACTACAGGTAAGATCTAAAAAATCGAATGGTCTGAAAAATGGCAGATGAAATTCAATGTGGTCGAGTGAAAAGTACTCAGTTTAGGAGATGTAAATAGAGAAACCAGATACCAGAGGAACAACGATGTAATAGAGAAATCCAACTGTCAGAAAGATTTAGGAGTAATGATAAGTAGGAATCTTAAGCCAAGTAAACAATGTGTTTTTGCTCGTAACAAGGCTAATACAGTACTTGGGTTCAAACAAAGAGGTGTAGTTACAAGACTAGCGAGGTTATCCTAAAACTATATCTTGCGTTTGTGAGACCTCACTTGGATTACACAGTTCAATTCTGGTCACCGTATTACAGAATGATATAGAATCCCTAGAAAAATTCGAGAATGACAAGACTAATCCGGGCATTAGGAACCTTGGTAGAGACAGGTTAAAGCATCTTAATTTGCACTCCTTGAGACGTAAGTGAGGGGCGATATGATGATGTATTAAATGGAAGTCAGGGCTAAACAAAGGTGATATAACAAAGGTACTCAAACTATCAACCAGGAGCGAACTCGTATGGTTTTATTAGACAAATTTAGATTTAGGCGCGAAATAGGTAAACATTGGTTTGAAATAGAGTAGTGGATGAGTGGAACAAGTTACCAAACATCATCATTAACTCGAACACGATGGATAGCTTCAAACATAGGTTGGATGGATATATGAGCGATGGGGTTGGGTGTAAACAGGACTGCCAATATGGTCCAATAGGCCCGTTCAGTATCCCCAATCTTATGATCTATTTCTTGGTGAACACCACGGCCTTCCTTACCTCAAGTCTTCAGACTCCAGAACCTGCAGAAGCAGGGGTCCTCACAGCCGCTACCTCACGACGCTCACTGTGTGTGTGTGTGAGCTACCTGAGGCGCCTGCTTCCATAGCGTCACGCCCCTCGCTCGCCCCA